TATGAAAATGACATTAGTCACTTTTTGTAGAATATATAGAATATACAAAGAGTTGGTTTATATAACTGACATTAACGTTATTCACTTTTTATCAAAAAAAATATAGAAAGTTGGCTTACATAATTGACACTCACATTAGTCAATTGTTATAGAATATGCAGACTATTGACTTATGAAACTGACATTAGTCACTTTTTGTAGAATATATAGAAAAATGGTTTATCTGACAGTAACATTAGTCAATTTAAAAAAAAATACAGAAAGTTTACTTATCTAATTGACATTTACATTAGAATTTTTATAATATGTACAGAATGTCATTTATATGTAATTAATAAATAAAATGATTCCCGTTAAGAAAAAAATCAATTAAAAAATGAACAAACGAATCACTTCTAAAACATAACTTTTATATTCGCTACGTTCACAATTTTTCGAAGGAGAGCAATATAATAACTAATTTGTGTACACTGCATATACTTAAATACTCAAAATGATGTCAATTCATCTCGTCTTAGCACCATTTACTCAAAACACGAATATTATTCATAATCTCATCAATCATCTATCTTGTTCTTTGTCTTTCTCTCTATCTCTCTTTCTATTCTCTATACTTTTCAAATTTTGTTTTTGTTCCGTTTTCTCGCAATCCCTTTCTCTGTGATTCGTTTTTCGCTTATTATCGCTAATAAAATGTTGTTGAAACCATTCGCAGGGAGACTATTATAGCGGAATGGGGGTTAAAACGCACAGCACAGACTTCAGCAGTGGTAAATCCGATAGTAAGTACAACAAAAAAAATTGTCACACACACATAAAAAAAACAACCATGAAGGTATATAAACAAGAGACTATTCTAATCTAACTACAAATACTTCCACCTTTCCAAACCTTTTTCTGTGCGCATTCTTTTATTTGGCTTATTTTTTAGTAATCAATATTCAGCTTCAAGCTTCTTAATTATTAATGTATTTTTTTTATATACAAAAAATATAAGATTTTTTATGTAAATAATAATATGGGGGTAGATTGTATTATATGAGCGTGGTTCAAGGATTTTGTTTGTTGTTTTTTTAAATGATTTAATCGCCAAAATTTTGATTATTTCATTTGGAAACACTTATTTTTTTTATATATATATATAAATTCAACTACAATAGAGAATGCCTATTTCTTCCCCCTTCACTCTAATTGCAAAACGTTTTTTTTTATTTCCCGAATGACTCATCTCTTATACTTACTTATACTTATAATTACTTCTTCTGCAGTTTCAACTGACTCCATCACGGATGTGGATAGACGCGGATTGGTATGTAAATAATTCAGACCGAAAAAAGTACACAATTAGGATTTTATGTCTACAATTCGATTCAAAATAATAAATAAATGAAACAGGAAACAAACACTCTTCAACTTCAATGTTTGACATTTTAAACAGTATTAACAAATTCTAATTTTTGATTAATCAACAGTGACTTTAGAATATGAAAAAAGTAATCTTATTCATGAAAAAGTTATAATTTTCATAATTCATCAATTGTGACACATATTCATTTTTTTTTATCATAATTCATTAAATATGACACAACCTTTCTCAACCTTCTTTAAATGGATCTCGAAATGACAAGTGTCACCTTGTGTCAAAGCAAAGAACTCATGAAATACTTGTAACAATTGAGTCAAAGTATAAGTACAAGCAAATATGTTGACTCAGGTGGCAAAAAGGTTTAGAAACACTGATTATTACAATAATATTAAATTATTTTTTTTAATAATTCATCAATTATGGCAAGCCTTTCTCAACCTTCTTTTAATGGATCTCGAAATGACAGCTGTCACTTTATGTCAAAGCAAGGAACTGATGAAATACTTGTAGGAAGTGGGTAATTCATCAAATATGACACAGCCTTTCTCAACCAAAAATAGGATCTCGAAATGACAGCTGTCAAAGCAAATAACTCATGAAATACTTGTAGCAATTGAGTCAAAGTACAATTACAAGCAAATATGTTGACAATAATATGAAATTCATTTTTTTCATAATTCATCATTTATGACCAGCCTTTCTCAACCTTCTTTTAATGGATCTCGAAATGACAGCTGTCACCTTGTGTCAAAGCAAGGAATTGATGAAATACTTGTAGCAAGTCAAAAGACAAAAAGGTTTAGAAACTCTGATTATGACAACAATATTCAATTCTTCTAATAGTTTACTTTTTTCTTAATTATTTGGTTATAGGAATTTGTGAAAATCATGTGAAGAAATATTTTCTTTACTAAGTCAAATATTTTGAACAACTTTCAAAAAAATAATTCAAACTTTTTGAAGAATATTTTATGAAAACTACATTTATTAATTGGATAATTTCATTCGTCTTATATAACATAGTACCATAACCTTTTAAAGTTTCAATTGTTTTCTGTCAAGTTTTCAATACTTCCTTCTGAAACAAATGACTATTGCATTTACATGAAGTAGAAGAGTGATTGGTTCGCTTGTTGACAGTACCAAAACTATACAAAATAAACCCAAAAAGTAAATATTTCGAGCACTTTTTTTGGGCGGATAAAGCATGCAGAGCTGTTGATCAGAACTACTAAGATGCACACCGGACTGTTTCGATCCCCCTATTGTTTTGACCTTTGTACCATAATATATATACATATATATATAGACGCACACTTGGTTGAGAGCATGATTTTGGCATTTTTTGGTTTGGTTCAGATTTGTTGCATCCAACTTAAAAAAAAAACAAAAAGTTCCTTCAAAATTATTTTGAATTTGTAATAATTTCATGTTTTTCTTTTTATTATAATCAGAAAATGGATATGCCGCTGTCCACCACGTACACCGGGGGCCTAGGAGGATACCCAAGCGGGTACACATCACAAGTACGACGATCGCTGCCCAACATGGCCCATACATTGTTGATCAACGAACCGGCAAAGATATACCCGTACCATCTGCTGATGATCACAAACTACAGACTACCAGCGGACGTCGATAGATGCAATCTAGAGGTACTTAAACTTTCCTCGCTCTTTCAATTCGTTGAACCGAGATTATTACTGTATTATCGAAATTGTTGTTGCATAACTAAATGACATGTGTCAAATTTGCAGCGGCATCTGTCGGACGCGGAGTTCGAGAGCCTGTTCCAACTGTCCAGGACCGACTTCTACAGACTGCCCACGTGGCGCCGCAGCGAGATCAAACGGAGGGCGCGCCTTTTCTAAACCAATCAACACGACGAGATCACAAAACAAATTACGACAACACATTACAACAACAACACACGCTCACAATCAAGCAGCTGATCAAAAGAGAAACAAAGAAAAAAACACTAATTAAAATAATTACAACACAATAGACTCACAGAAGAATTAGTTAAGATTTGAAAGGCTTTTAGCGTGGAAGGAAGGACGGGAGGTGTTTGTTTTTTATTTTGCTATCGCCGCTACAAAAAAAAAAGAGAAACGGAAACATTTGCAAGAGCATCCAAACGACGTTCGATTATCGTAATCTTACACAAATCTAAACGAAAGAATATAATATAACAAACAACAATTTTTTTGAATCTTGCCTTTCGCTGCCGGCGCTGAAAATCGTCGCTTGCGTTTCTTTTCAATTACAATATTTTTTTCTTCGTTTTATCGCATAACTATATTGTTTTTTTGTTTTTTTTTTGTTTGTCCTCGGCGGGCGTTTATTTCCGCCCGCCGAAGGAGACGATGGAAACGATGATAATTGCTTATATAATAAATGAGATGCTTAATATATTTTTTGTAGGATTAAGCTAGGTTCTAGGACTATTTAAAAAGAAATTACTAAATGAATACACACACATAAAGAGATGGACGGAAAAAAAATAAAAAAGATTACATTTTGTATTGGCGGGAAGTAACAGAAAAGAAATTAATATTATCAAAAGACGAAATGCATTTAATAAGTGGAAATAATTGAATGCAAGACATTATACAGGCCTTACATATACATGTATTTGTAAACAGGCATTTAGGAACGAGTTCGAGATGATTGCTTTGCTAATTGTTAGATAACGATAACGGCAAAAAGAAATAATTTTATACGAAATTTTCTTATGTTCCATTGTATTTTGTACCTCTTCATTTTGGGCGCAACCCAAACCATATATAATTATTTCGAATTGAAATTTTCGAAGATTTTTCAGTTAAATTTTGAGTATTTGTTTAATATTTTTCTTCGAATTAAATAATTTTTTATTAAAATCCCCAACAATAATAACTTCAATGTTCAATGGTGTTTCTTGATTTCGTTTGTTTCCTTTTTTTATTTTAACATGTCTTTTGATTCGTTTAATTTATTGCGTCTACTTTGCCCATATTATTATTTTTTTCTTGTTTTTTTCGTGAGGAAAATTATTATGTATATTTAGTGGAAAAAGTGTTTAGGTATATTTATTTGTGTATACATATTGAAGAATACTATACGAATGGAAATTATTGTATTTATGTTGTTTTCTCTTCTTCTTATTATTTTTTTCGTTTTCCTTGTAGATATATTTGTTTTAAGTTGTGACAGCACTGCTCTCCTGTAATAATTAAAAGAAAAACAAAATACATTACATCCATAAAAATAAAACAATTGTTTAGTTTTCATTTGCAAAATGTGTTACTACTTCAATGAGGATTCTACAGGACCATACTTTTCAAAATCATAACATATTCTTTCATAACTCAACAACTACGCAAGATAAATCGATCAGAAAACGTGCAAATGGAAGCTGAAAGTCTGACCCTTCCAACCTACTGACTGCTGTCATTCATTCATCTTCTGCTGCAAACTGTCAAAAGCGACGTTGCTGAAAATGCACCCTCTTCACGTTTTACTATATTTCAGGATAACCACGCAGGATAATTACGTAATTCAACAAGAATCATACTATTTAGACAGCCACCTTTCGGATGAGCGACATTTTGAATCTATATTTCGATTTTCAGAGTTCATGAAAATTGCTGAATATTTCGTTCAATTCCAATTAGATTTTGATAAAATCACAGCTTGATAGAAAAAAAAAACGATTTTCGTTCGTCTTCTGTAAACTGTCAAAAGCGACGTTGCTGAAAATACACCCTCTTCACGTTTTTCTATATTTCAGAATAACCACGCAGGATAATTCAACGTAATTCAACAGGAATCATACTATTTAGCCAGCCACCTTTCGGATGAGCGACATTTTGAATCTATATTTCGATTTTCAGAGTTCCTGAAAATTGCTGAAAATTTCGTTCAATTTCAATTAGATTTTTTTTAAATCACAGATTTTCGTTAATAATACTACTCTAATGAGGATTCCACAGCACCTATTTTTCAAAGTCATNACGCAAGATAAATCGATCAGAAAACGTGCAAATTGAAGCTGAAAGTCTGACCTTTCCAATCTACTGACTGCTGTCATTCAATCGTCTTCTACAAACTGTCAAAAGTGACATACTATTTAGACAGCCACCTTTCGGATGAGCGACGTTTTCTATTTGTATTTCGATTTTCAGAGTTTCTGAAAATTCCTGAAAATTTCGTTCATAATCACCTGCGGACAAGCGTTTCACAACTCATTACGTAACGTACCTTGCGATCCGGCAAGTTGATAGTTTTCCTGTTTTTTATTAATTGCTCGAAAGTTACGTACTTTTATTACATTTTTGTTATTGCTCATGAAGAGCGCCACCATTATGCAACATATGCAAAAAAAAAACATAATGTTCATTACGTAACCGAGAAACAACAATTTTCAATGTATTCAGTTTTTAGTTAATTACTCTAGAACCATTTAAGACAATGACATTACCTTACTCTTAAATTGAAGCTGAAAGTCTCACCTTCCTATTGTACTCACAAGTGACTGCTATCATTCATTCATTTGCTACGAGCTGTCGAATGTTTAGATGTAGGTAAGGACAATCTTCACTTTTAATTTAATTTTAGGATAACAACGCAAGATAATTGCATAATTCGATATGAATCTTAAACTAGAGACCGTTACCATTCGAATGAACCTGCATTCTATCATCGATATTGTGATTTTGAATAGTGCTGAAATTTTGCGCAAATAATTTAATTATCAGGATCAACCTGTGTATGTTTGGTTGCAGCGACTCGAAAAGCGTGCACGATATTTGAATTATTGAAAATTCGCATGCGCGTATTGTTTTGTTTACTTTTGAGAACGACGAAGCTGTGTTTTGAAGCATACTTGCATATTTGACGGTTACCAACGGTTACATCAGACGCCATTACTTAAGAATATTTTGTGTTGTGTTATATTTTGTTTATTACAACTTTTTTAAAATGCCTACTGCAACCCATTCCAATTTAAAGTCCCATGTTGAACCACAACATCCTGGTAAAATATAACTTTTATTTAATTTATAATACAGACGGAAAGGTTTAATGAAATTTAATGAAAGGTTCATATCTCAGGACTGAAATGTCCTTTATGTACTATTATTGATGTAAGACTAGCATTAATTGACCAATTGAAATTAGCTCTCAATGTTATATTCTGATTCCTCCACTATAGAGTGGAGGTGTGCAAGTTATCTCACTCCTTACAGTGTATGTACCCAGGCAATGTCATGTTAGGCATAAAACAGTAAATAAATACATAGTATATAGTACAATAAACAGAGCATATAAACAAGCAGCTCTCAATGTTGATGAGTTTACAAAAATTGAAGATTTCAAGACCTGGACAAAACAGATAGATTATGTTGCAATTGGTATATGTTGATGGATTAATTTTTTTGTCATTTATTTCAGATGTTGATGAAAATGATGAAGACTGCTGGAAGGTGGAAGACGCATCATATTTGGAAAACGCTAAAAAATTGTTAATAGCAAAAATAACAGTGTTATTGCAAAATATTAATAGTTCGGAAGAATTGAGTAGAGCAACGATTTTAGTTGATGAATTAATTCAGAAGCTCTTAGATCTAACTGAAGACTAACAAAGAATATGTATTTTTTCAATATGTTACTTTATTTTTCTTTAAATATATTTTTATGTTTATAAATTACAATTATTTATTTTTGTGATGTGTTCCAAGATTGCTGAATTAAAACTTAAAAATGTTTGCGTTCGAAAATCTTAAAATATTCCTGATTTTACTTCTGTTCATGCGCACTTCAACGAACTGCGTTTCCTTGAAGCGTTGTTTCATAAGTGTGAGTAACAGCTGTTCTGATCAACAAATATGCTAAAGACGATGGGAGACTACGATGATCTCGATGAAGAAGTATATGATGAAGAGGAGGAGCTGTACCATATGTATTTCAGACAGCCAAACACCATAAAACCTCGAATGGATAATTTGGAGAACTGGAGCGATGCTGAATTCTACGAAAAGTTTCGTTTCACCAAGCACACAGTAGTGGGATTGCTGGAGCAGATCAAGAATAAACTGATACACAAGACGAATAAGTAGTAGTAAATACAAAAGAATAGATCTTGAACGAAATTGGTAAAATGTGTGTTGCAGGAATAATCCAGTGACTCCTGTGCAACAGCTCCTGATTACATTGGGTTTCTTTGCAAGTGGCTCCTTTTACATCACAATTGGAGACTTTGCTGGTATTCATAAGACAACAACTGGAAAAATTATACATAGGGTATGTGATGCTATTTCGAGTCTGCTGGATCAGTATGTTTACATGCCATCGAATACCAGTGAGGTTGATAAGAGTCAATTGGATTTTTACAATGTTGCTCAGTTTCCTAACGTTCTTGCAGTATTGGATTGTACCCATGTAAAGATACAATCTCCAGGTGGAGAGGATGCTGACTATTACAGATGCAGGAATGGGTACTTTGCTATCAACGTTCAGGCTATGTGCAACGCATCTCTGAAATTCGTTGATATTGTGGCGCGATGGCCGGGTTCGACGCACGCGAGCACGATTTTCGAGAATTCCTTCGTCAAGTCGAGATTCGAGAACAAAGAGTTCAAAGATGGTTTAGTTCTCGGCGGTGGCTGCTTTCCGCTGCGGAACTATTTGATAACACCTATCAGGAATCCGCAGACGGAGGGCGAACATCGCTTCAACGAATCTCACATGAAGACGAGGAGGATTATGGAGAAATGTTTGAGGCTGTGGAAGAAGAGGTTTCCTATCTTGACGACAGGCATGAGATGCAAGGTGCCTCTGGTGCAGAAGATCATCGTAACCACGGCAATTCTACATAACATATCCATAGATTGCAACGAAACTGAACCGGATGTTGACGGAAGTTCCGGCGAGGAAAACGATATTTTGTTTAATTGCAACGAAGTCGTTCATCAAGATGCTAGAAATGATTTGATCAAGTACTTTTCTAACTCAACTAACTAATGTTCCTATGGTTACTCTGCATGTAAATAGTTACTTTTTTGTAGCGAACTTTCCCATTACTAATTTTATATTTTTTTATACAAATCCTATACATATTAATGTACAAGAATTCTTAATAAATGTAGAATTTGAAAAATATGAAATTTGTTTGTAGTATGTTAATAAATTAACCAGTTAAGTTTGATATTAACCAATCAACGCATCACCTAGGTAACAATATTGCAAACAAATAAGCAATCTTTTAAAGTTTATAAAATCTATGAAGTCTTGATTCAAAATAAATTTACTATTTTAAAGATCAATTTTACAATATATTATAATGAAAAACCACAAAATTTGTAAGAGGTTTATAAATCTGCACAATAACTGGTACAACTTTAATGAATTTCACAAAGAAGAAACGAACACAGAACGAAATAAAATTTACATCCATCCGTTTATTTTTCCACAAACAAAAAAAAAACAGAAAACATTTTCAAGAAATACAACAAATACTGGTAGAAATAATCTCAAGATTAATAATAGTTTCAAATAAAAAAAAAATGGTCAAAACATGTTTCATATATTTTGTTTGTTGTCCAACCGTATTTTCTTAAAGAGACTACGGAGGGAAAAAATAAAATAAAACTCAATATTTACATAAAATAGAACAAACATCTTCCACTGTTTCTACATCAATATACAAATATTATCAAAAAATGTACAATGGGGTTGTTTCTTTTTTTAAATGTATGTTGGGGGATTGAGAAATGCATAAAATAAACGTAAAAACTGAAGAAAAGTAAATTCCTCTTCTAATAAGTAAATGGTAAGTTAAAATAAAGGTTGGGAGTTAAAAACAAGTAAAGATGATGGTGATAATCTACAGGAAATAATACATACATTTAGATGACAACAACAAAAAAAATAAAATAAAAGATAGAAGAGAAGATAGTGAAAGAAAGAAATAACACAACCTACATATTATCTAAATCACAGTGAATATTTATAAATTATGTATTAAAAAAAATAATAATTGGTAGACGAATATATGATAGACGCATCTGATGATGATTGTGGTCTTCAGTTCTCGCCGAGGGGTCCTTCGGTTTTTGAACGTTTCTTGTTGTTCAGGGACGTTCGCGAAGATCGTCTCCTCTTCTTGCCTTTAACGCTGTTCACTACTGTCGTTGTAGTCGTTGCATGGCACGAGTCTTCGGCTATGGAACTCGCACTGTCGTCCGCCTCGTAAGTGGTCGAAGTTACATCGGATTCGTCCGTCGGCGATTTCGATTTCTGTAATCCTTCATCGTGATTGGCCACTTCCCTTTCCTAACATAAATTCAACAGATTAGTTAAGTTTAAAGGAAAGATCAACAATTACTTACAGGATCATGTGAAAAACACACGTATCCCAGCATCCGGTCGTGCCTCATCTTCCCTTCGCAGTGCAGAGGACAATAAGAATTCGTGCAGAAGAGGCAGCATCTGATGGTGCGTTTTGAACACATGTTGCAATTGTGCCAAGGACAAGTCCATTTACCTACAAAGAAATCAATTAATTACATGAATTTAATGATTACCCAATTATATTTACTGTGCATTTTCGTTTCCAGGTTCACGCATTTCGGGTGGTAAAACTTGGTACATAACTTGCTGTGGCATGGATAGGTTTCTCCGAGACCGGTTTCACCGCACTCGAAGCAAGGCTCCTCTTCGACCGGCGATTCCACTGGTGACGGTGTCGAAACCTTTATCGATGAAGGTTTCTTCTGTTTCTTAACATCCTAATAAACAATGAAAACACAGCATTATTATACAAGACAAATAAAGTAAAATATATTAACTACAAACCAAATGCATAGAAACCATATTCTTCTGATTTTAGACTCTAACTTGAAATTTAAACTAAACTTGTACCTTTTTTTTACAATTGGAAAATGGTTTCATTGATCAATAATTTGATATTGACGTTAATAGTAACCATGGTAATAAACAAAACTAGCAAAATAAAAAAAATATAACAGAAATTTTAACGTTGTAAATTGTAGAAGTGTAGAAAACCTTAGAAAATTGAATTTCAATTAAAAAAATAATGATCACAACAAACGTGCTAATTTTGAATCGACGTTAATGTCTTGTTGCTTGAAACATTAAACTAACGTCACTAGTTATGTTTTAACCATGGCAACAGAATGTAACAGAAATGAACTTACCGCTGATTTCTTGGCCCCTATGAAACCGCTGCAGCTCGGAGCTCCGCAACGGCACTCCTTTTTCTCTTCGCCGACGCATTGGAAATTGTAATTGAACGTTAACTCCGTGTCCTTGGGAATGTCCTGAATGGCGAACAGACCTATCCTCGTGATTGAACGCACCGTCCATTTCTGCGTTTCACAGTTCGGTTCGCAGCAGTGATTCATAAATCTCGCAACATTTCCTACAAAAAAAATAATAAAAAAATACAAATTAGAATTATGCAATATACGATGACGTTGAAAATGTTAAAGTAGATTGTGAAAATCTTGATCAATGTTCGATAAGGAAAACGAGTTATGCACTTTGACAAGTATTTGTAAAAGTCGATCGCGGAAGATGTACAAAATCGGAAAATTCCTTGTACTTACGCAAGTTCCTGAATAGTATTCATCGTTTACCGATGAGTTGCTAAATGTATGAGTTATTTGAATAATAAGCGAAATATTTGCAAACATTTGATTAATACAAATGGGAAATGCACTAGATGAACTAGCATATCGAGACTGATTAATGAAATAGTAGAAATACTTGAAAAATACATTTACATCATTAGTATCGCGTTTTGTGCAAAGCTGCTTTCTATACAAATCGCATGTACCTTTAGGGCCGGCGTCGATCATTCTGGTGTTATCGATGGTCAGGAAGTAGTAGTTATCGATCTTCTGTTCATGCATTTTCTTGATCCGTCTCTGGTACTCCTTGTCGTCGATGACTTCGCCCACGTATTCTATAACGAATTGACCCTTCTTTACGGGTTCCAGCGTCTTCAGACCCCAACCTCGACCCTTCGTATTGTAGGGTAGAACGTTAACGTATTGCCTCTTGTCGAAACGTTGGTTCTCGCAACGCTCACCGGCCGGACAGACTTCCAAATCGCATTCGGTCAATAACATCCTAAACAAATTTTACCATTTACAATTCGATTATTTGCACAATTGCGTTTTTGATATTCCTTCTTACCGATTCAGACAGTCGCTAGATTCGCCGCAAGGACTCGGACCATCCGGATCGCAGGTACAGGCCATAGCATTGCTTGTGTTTGACGCATCACCCAATTTCACGTTACCAACTGGTTTGTTAATTTTAATTTTGATGAACGTTGGAGGTTTGTCACTGTCCTTGAGGAGGGATTCACAACTATCTTTATACTCTGAAAAAATATATTTGTTAGTTAATAACTCAATTCTAGAATAGTTTGATAATAGTGTGATAATTACCTAGCTTGAACCTATGCGCTTCTGCTGCTTCCTTCACGGCCTGTTGGTAGACAAAGTCCACGCGCGATCTGTACCTGTTGGTAGAAACGGTCACGTCGTCCGCTTGAAAGAGGAAGACGCGGCCTCGACCGATCCAGTAATGATCGTGGGTTCCGAAGAATCTCACCACGAACTGTCCTTGATGATGCGAACTGTTCATCACGTTTTCGGGGATCTCGTTCGGGAAGAGGACCAGGGCAGGCCACCAACGGTAGCTCCCCAATTTCGCCCAGACGATCTCATCGTACAGAGGCAAACGGCCGGATTCGCAATCCTCGCAGACGTAAGATCCATCCTCCAGGTAGTTAATAGACGAACACTCCGAATGGACACTCGTAGGACAAATTTCGCAGCATATCAGCGCTCCTCCTTTCGAGCAGATGAAACACCAGGTCGTGTTCACTGTTGTCTGTTTGGAATCTGAAACAACAGCAAATTTATACATGATTGACGTAATATCGCGTGAGGTTTAATAAAGCTTAGGTGCTTTGTAGTTGTGAAAAAAGCGTAAGAAATGAGAAGAAACTCACCGACATAATGCCTAGGACATATAATCTGGCTGGCAGTGATCACGTTTGATCCAGCTGGTATGCAGCGACTGTTGTTGTGATAAGTCGCCGGACACTTAAGACATCTTGCAATCTTGTTCGTAGTTATTCGAGCGTGGAAGGTGCGAGGATTATCCGACACGCATATTTGACATGTGTGCATCGGGCAGTAGAATGCATCCTGCTCGTTGTTGCTGCTCTTAATCAGGCTAAATTGCGTCTGCGGCCACAGTCTTAGGCATTCCTGATGAAAGGTCTTGCCGCAACCAACGACTGTGCATCTCTGCCGCGCCGACGATCCACGAGGACTTACATTGCATCCGCACATGTGACAGGGAGGATCGATGTTGGCCAAGCACTTACCGCACCTGAACTCATCTGTATTCTTCAGAGAGGACTCCAAGATCTCGATTTGCTGCGACGAGCTATCCTCTGAACTGTTATCAGTCGTAGAATCAGCGTATATCGTCTTCTCTTCAATGGGATTCATGACTTCCTTCATCTTCAGATCGAACTGCTCCAGCAATGTCAGATCCTTCACCGCTTCCTTATCAAGCGACAACTTCTTCGGCGACTGATACTTCTTAGTTTTGATGGAAACAACCTCCACCTCATTTCCGGTGTTCTCGTTGACCATCTTCAGTTTACCCTTCCTAACCACCTTTATGATTCTACTCAGATCACTCGCGCAACTCCTGTGATAATACCCGGAGCATTTACCGCGGCATTTCAAGACATCTTCAGGTAAATAACAAATCTGACAGACACGATCGCGTCGCACTCCTCGGAATATATTGTTTCGTCTCCACAATGCCGTTTGGGTCTCCTTGTTCATGACGAGCGGTGGTTTCAAAGTCCATTTGGGCGATATCAGATCCGTCTCCGACGACTCTGAACACACTTCGTTGTCCTCCTTGACCTCCTCCACGCTTGACTCGGAAGATTCCTGCTTGATTTCGCTCGTCCTCTTCCTCAAAGAATAATTCGCATCCGAATCCAGTGATTCTTCGACGCTGTTACACTCAGACTCCTCTTCTTCCACCTCTTGCTTAATTCTCGCCTCTGACCTACCCTTGCGTATCTTAGACCGTTTTTCTGTATCCTGTTCAATGACCAGTTGGAAAAAATCCTGCTTTTCCTCCAGAGGTTTATCGATTAGCGGCATCGCCTCCTGCATCCCTCTGAACCACTTTGGGAATCTGCTCACTTTGAAGTGATCAATCGGGGCCAGTCTCTCCGACTACAAGATATCACAATTATTAACGATAAATCGAAATTAAGAGAAAAAAAATAGTTACCGCCTTCTTCCTCTTAAAAATGTTGTAAATTTCGGGCAGATTCACAGTAAATGGTAACATACTGCATATTCTCACCCATGACCTTCGACCCCTATCCCCGAAAAATCTCACATGATACTGGAGATGTTCAGGTTTACCGTCTGGTGCTAAAAGATTAAGAAATAATATAGAAAGTTTTATAAATAAATCTATAATTCTATTATGTAACAGATCACGAATTATATACTTGAAATTTCCAACAGTTTTCTTTAGTCAAGTATTGAAAAATTGTATATATGTTTAGTAACTTACCTGCAATAGTGAACTTATCGTTACATGGATCCTTGATGATCAGGCTCGGCCAATAGACACACTTTCCTAATCTCGCGTATGCTAATTCGCCCATCTTGAACTTGTGCATACCTAGAATTCAAGATTTCATTATCAATATTAACTCAAATTTAAGCAGCCACCAATCCACGGAATTACCTTTCAAACACATTTGAAGAATTTTGAGGATTTCGTCGTCATCGTTATGGGCATCTGGAATTAGGCAACTTTCACCGCCCGGCTCTTGTTTAATTTCTACCTTGACCATCGAAGACGGCATCACGTCCTCATCCTCCATCTCCTTCTTGATAACAACATCCGGATCCAGCTTGATCCTTTTTCTCGCCACCTCCGGCTTAATTTTCAAAGAATTCTTAATGTACTCGACATCATCCATAATGTCATTAAGGTAAGCCACAGAATCGTCTAACTTCCTCTTCTTTGCTGCAGGACGCTCCTCAATTTTCTTCTTTTCTACTACGGATTTTCGCGCCCTTAACGATTTTCTCCGATCCGAGTTCTGTTCCTCCTTGATGTTATCATCTTGTGAGCTCTTTTCAGCATCTCCGACTATGGATTTCCTCGACCTCAAGGTCCTGCTCGAGACGATTTCCACTTCCTCGGACTTCCCATTCTTATTGAGATCAGCAGCATTTACCGCCAAATCAACTTCGATAGGCGATTCTTTAGGCACCAAACTCTTTCGCATTCGCAAATTTCGCACTGGAACCACCTTCTTCTTATCCAAAACGTCAACTTCTGCAACCTCATCCAATTTCTCTTGCGTCTCATGTTTTTCGACCAAAGTAGTTAATGAAGTAAGCTCATTTTCTTCCATAGCGTCCATCATATCAACATCTATAGGTTCTTTCTTAATTTTCAAATTACCAAAAGTGAAATCTGAATTGATTTTTATTTCAATATCATCATCGACTCTAACCGTAACTGCCTCCACTATCTCCACATCAGGAGTATTTTCTTCTACAGTTGAATCATCCACTTTAGTGTCTTCCATTTTAAGTTTTACACATGTATCATTGGGCTCTTCCATAACCCGTCCAGATCTTAAACTTCTTATACAAAATGTACTAATGTCATCTTCACTCTGTAACTTAGCTTTGACTATTTCTGCTTTACAACTGTCATCATCTATCCCGTTGCCCTCTGAAACCTTTGTCATTTCTTCTGCAATTTCCTTCACCTCTTCCACCACCGATGAATTGACTTGTATACTTTCAGACTCTTCTCTTGTTATAGAAGTATTCATTTGTTCACTTCTAACGACTGTACTTTCGGCAATTGGCAATTGCGTTTTTCTGGAACGTAAATTTCTAATTGGTATAGTATCAAACTCAGCTTCGGCTTGAATTAAAATCCCTTTTTCTGCAGCCGGTATATAAGTCTCTTTGTTGATAGGGTTTACATCTATAAGGAAACGCGATTTTCTATTTCTTGGACTTTCCACAGCCTTAGGCTTGGTAGCGGTCCTCGCCAAATTCTCTTTGTCCTCTTTATTGCTCTCTAAATTTTCTTTCGCGCTGGTACTAACCTCCTGCTTTTTCTTGTTCGGAGGACTCGGTTCCAAAATCTTTTCGATCTCGCTCAAAATGTCCTGAGTGTTGATGGTTTCGAAATTCATTACAACATTCTCGGCGGATTTACTCTCCACATCAGCAAGGACATTTTCATCCGTTACGGTTTCAGCGCACCTCACGTTACTAATAGAGCACTTTTTCGAATTATCCACCTTTTCCGCACCGCTTTTCCTTCCAGGTTGCTCCATATTTGTCGATGGATCTTTGATGTTTATCCTGCTTTCATTCTGTTCTACGCGCTTAGACTCAATCATTTCGTCATCCTCTTGGAGGATGGTTTTTCCTAGACACACCATTTCATTCAACTTGAATTTAATCTCGTTGTGTGGAGGGAAAATGCTGCAAACATCATCATCAATCAATACTTTATCATTGTTGTTCAACAGTTCGATTTCGGGGTTTTCGTTTATTTCCAATGAATGTTTGATAATTGGATGGTAATTCTCCTCGAGCTGTAATTTCTTAGATTTCTTTTCGATCCTGTTGCGCATGAAGGTTGTCCTTTCTGGGAGCGAGTACATATCTTCGTTGAGTACCTCAACCAAAACTTTAGGTTTCTTTTCTTTGCTCTCCGTTTTACTTTCTTTAAAGATTTTTTCTAGATTAATTGACTCGTTGGAATCGTTGCTTTCCTGAAGCAAATCGCGCGAAGACGCTTCTCCGCCTTTGACTATCGGAGAGAACAATTCGATCGCATTACTATTCGTGGCACAACTGGCGCTCTCCTGTTCTGCAGGATTGATTGAGCTTGCGTTCGATTTCGATAGAAAATAATTGTGATCTTTGTAAATAATTGATGTCAAATTATCTATGTTAATCTTACAAATTAATTGCTTTTTAGGCGTCGAAGTTTGAGCTAGTTTGGTGGTATCGCTTAATACTGTATATGGAAAAAGATCCATATCCAAAGTGTCTTTTTGTCTTGGTTCTTCGGCGCTTTGAATATCAGAGCTACCGTTCATCAAGTTATCTTTATCAACTGGCGACAACGCAGTTTTTTCCACTTTCTCCTTTGTACAGTTTAAATCTACATGAGATGTATTAGAATTATAGGAATGTGATCCATTGTATTCAGTCTTATATTGTATGATTTCATTTACCTTGGTGTCAATGTTCAGTTTCTTATCTATCTCCAAGATTTTGTTGTCCGATTTATCCGTAGTCTCGTCGTTCTTATCCGTCTCTGGTACTTTGCTCTGCTCATCCTCAAACTTAGTATTCTCCGACGGGTTCTCATTCTCTTCAGACTTTTGCTGTTCGCAGTTCTGATTCAAGCGTTCGTGGACCAACGGATTGTTCACAACGTCATCGTTCTTGCTGATGGTAAGTGCTGCTGATACCGTCACTTCCATCTTTTTGCTTTTCGCACGTCCTCTCTTAGGACTCGCGTTCATTTTACTTTCTAATCTCAAAGGACAAAGCTCCATCTTTGGCTCTACTTCTTTACCATTTTGGTTATCGCTCTTCTCCGATTCAAGGCTATCCTCACGCTGCTTCTTTTTTATGGCTCTCAAAGCCCTCGGCGACAGGATCTCTTGTTCAATTTTTTCGGAAGCCCTAGGAGACAAAACCTCCTCTACTAATTCGGACTCATCGCTTTTATTCCTCACGGATTCTTTGGATTTCAAATGCCTTTTATCTGATAAAACTTCTTTGGTAGACTTTGAGGACGATCTTGACTTGAGGGGCTTCGGCGACGCAACGTTTTTCGTCTTAGGAGTTTCCACTGTTTGCTGCTTCTTCCGACTTCTCTTATTGTTTCGTGGTGAGACCACATCATTGCCGATCATCTTAGGCTCGGTACTCTCTAACGTATTAATATCACTTTCGACTGGTATATCGTTATCACTAAAACTCTCGGTGCTATACGTATTATCTTCCTCGTTGAAAAGGAATTCTAGCTCATCATCCTTTATAAAAAGATCTGAAAGAAAGTTATAACAGTTTAGTAAATGGAATAGATTATTCAAATTGAATTACCTTCCAATGGAACATTACTGGTTTCGGCTTCACCAAGAGACTCCCAAGGGCATAGACCAAATTTGTTCTCATGGATGTTAACGTCATCAGTGTTGGCTTGAACGTCCAATTCTTGAATGTAATGAGTGTTTGATGATTCATCAGGTACTGGGAACTTTACCTCCGGCTTCTCTCTGACAATGCTCTTCCTATTGCTGTATGTCTTCAGAATTGGCTTCTGAGATGACAAAAATACTTGCCTAAAGTCTATAAACTTATTAGTATCATCATCAGACTCATCAGCGTCTTTGGCCTCGAATGACGTTGACGACGGTCGATTAAACAACCTTCTACGGAAATTTAATTCAGATGAGACCCTTTTCTTTGTTAAACTTTCATAATTGTGAGTGACGCTTTTCGGTGAAACGCTTTTAGATTTTCTAAACCTCTTGCCTGCTGACTTTTGCTTTCTCAGCAATGACTTGCTCGGTGAAGTGAACAGGTCATCAATATTACAGAAATCATGTGAAATTTTTGGTTTCCTAGTCCGTCCGAAGCGACTCTTCGACGACATAGTCTCACCAACAAGTTTACTATCTTCACAATCCATTTAACTGCAAAGCACCCAAACAAGCTTTACAAATATTCGATAAAACAGTTGTATACAACAGCACAGCAACTAACCTAACTTGCAAATGTAAACTACATTTCAAATGATAATAACAAAACATATAGTACCAATGATAACCTAATTAAATGAGAGCAAAACTGAGAAAGAGAGATAGACATGTAGAGTAGGTTCGAGAGTTTTCATATTTATTTTCCTTCTTTTTTTTTTGAGGGTTAAAACAACATTCTTGCAAATTTGGGGATGAGACATGTAAGAATCAAGAAAAATCAAGCAGCAAATGATGAAACTGTTCATGCCACAGATCTGAGCACAGTTTTATTGCAACAACAATTTGCGCCAAAAATTATATTCTTTTTAGTTCACAACACAAATAAATTAACCAAGATCAACGCTCACCTTTTTCGACAGTACCGAATTCGATCTAAAACGCTTTCCTTTTGGTGCACATCGGGGTTTCACTTCTCATCAAATTCAAATTTCCAACAATCCTTTATATTTATGTTTGGATTAAATGTGCTGCGGCATGAAGAGAGAGGATACAGAGCTATAACATGGCGCCAATTTTTCTTGCAACTGTCAAAAACTCTGGGATATACCTTTTTTTTTTCTTTCGCTAAATTCTTAATAACGATGTTTCAAGTACACAGCTGTACCCATTTTAATGCCATTAATATCCAGTATTTAATTACACATTATTAAAGGATTTGCACTTAGCAATAATTGCAAAAAAATTAAAATATTTACGAGTGTACAGTTGGTTGCATAATATTTTCATATAAGATTTAACACATATTACACAACCTTTAGCCCAATGCGCTCCAATTTCACAAATTATTCCACAAATTGGAATAGAAAAATGCTTTCAACAAAGAAAGCAATTAAAAATATGACAAATTTCATTAAATTTCTCAACATTTCTTAACTGGAACAAATTGTCTTTGAATTATTTATGCAAATTGGTAAATGCATGGACTTTTTTTTCTATAGAAATGCTGAAGTTTGCTGTTCTCACGTTTCGGCTTCAAAGAATTACGGTTGTTGTTGTGTCTGGTGACCGCTTCAGAGGTTCGGACCGCCAGAAGAAGTAAGCATGTCGTAAATCAAATAGTATGGAATAAAGAGAAATGTAAACAAAACACGTTGTTATAGGTCGTAAAAGTCGAGGACAGAAGTTGCTCACTAAAAATTGCATTCATGAATTCGTTATAGTCGCTAACATTTTAAAGATTTTATTTAAAATTTATTGTTAATATAAATATGGGACAATACAGAAGTTATCCCAGATAATATAAAATAAAGGAAGAAATCGAAAAGTACATTTTTTAGAATTAAACTGTCGTGTCCCAGGAATAGAATTATGGGCACAGTGGAATATTGTCTAGTATTGTCGTAGTTGGGAATTTAATGAAATTCGTTTGGTTTTACATAACTTTATTCGTTACTTGGTCGATTTATGATTTATCTGAAACTATGCTCATCATATTAAGATTCTTATAAGACTATGTTCATCTTATTAAGGTTTTACTGAGACTATGCTTGTCCTCAAAGATTCTGCTGAGACTAATTCTAAATACTTAAAATACGGGAATAAAATGTTTTAATTAATTATAAATTAATTGCATAATTTAACAGTTCTCGAAAGTTAAACAGCTCTTGTACATGATATAAATTGGATGGGTGATGTTTTTATGAATTCAATGTAACTTAACACGATTTGTTAGTTATAAACTCATTTAATAATCTAATAATGATGATATTGCTTGTAAATTTGGTTGTATATTGAATAAAACTTTTTTAAATTTTAAAAAGTGTACTTGTATTAGCTTTTTTTCTTCTCTAAATACTTCTTTAAATGTTCGTTTCATAGTCGTTTTGTGTTTGTGAATCGGTGCACTTGCGTTTGTATCCAAAATATCCATTATACCTGTACTTCATTTTTAACCATGGAAACGTACAATAAGCTTAAGCAATTAGGAAAAGGCACCTTCGGGTATTGACGAAAGCGTTTACCATTGAGTGGTAAAATCAAATGATTGTATCCATGTTGCAGAACGGTCTACCTGTGCGAAAGGATCCACAATAAACTGAAGATTGTGGTCAAAGAGATCAACGGGGATTTAGATAACAAGCAGGTTGAGGTGGCTAAAAACGAGGTGGCCGTGCTTAAGGCACTCAACCATCCTAATGTCATCCAGTACTACGACAGTTACTTGAAGAACGGCACATTCTTCATCGTCATGGAATACGCCAAGCACGGAAACCTCTACGAGTTGATCAATAGAAGCAAACCGAATTTCATCGAGAAAGATGTAATTGCTTTAAGATAATACTTTCTATTTGTCAAGTAACTTTATTGATAATTGACAAGTGGCAATTGAATATTGACAAGTAACTTTAAGTAAGCTACAGTAGTCATGGATACTAAATATATCACAAGTTACTTGGCAAGTTAAATTGACATTATCTGTTATTTCAAAATGAAAGAATATATTATAAAATCAACTGACAGTTATTAAGCAATCAATTGTTTTTGGATTTAACTATTTTATTAGCATAATTATGAATTAAATTCTTGATTTATTTCAGAAAATTCTATCAATTTTTGTTCAAACTCTGATGGGTCTGGATCACATTCACTCGAAGAGCATTATTCACAGGGACATGAAATGCGAGAACGTTCTATTGACTGGAATCAACGGGGACATCGTTAAAATCGGCGATTTTGGTATATCCAAAATTTTAGAAATGTATGAAAATTTTCATTTTTTTTTCGTATTTATCCATAATTTTTATAAAAATTTATAAAAGTCATCAATAGACATTTAATTGTAATGATGATAATGATTTTTAGATTTGTAGTAAAAAAAATTCTAAAATTTAAAACATTCATTAACAAAATTTTAATCTCTTGTTATAGGAACTATGGAAAAACGAATACGATCATAGGAACTACAAACTATTTGGCACCAGAAATATGCGATGGTCAACCGTACGATACGAAATCTGACATTTGGTCATTAGGTTGCATCTTGTACGAGCTTTGCGCTCTAGAAAGATTGTATTCAGGATCTGTGAGTTAATCTCAATTTTAATTCACTCTAATCTGTTTTACTGTTATCTGTTTTATGATAGTATTATTGTATTTTTGTAGATGTCTTCTGTAATTGTGGCAATAAAAGCCGGCAGAAGGAAGAGGATCAACGTGGATATATTGGGAAGCGAGTTGCAGAGGATCATCGATTCCATGGTCGAGGTAAATCCGGCTTTGAGACCAACCACGACGGCCCTCCTGGCCCATTCCTTCATCTATCCCATAACTCACACGCTGATGCTAAGTTTAGGTAACATACCATCCGCTTGAAGTTAAAAAAATTAATTATTTATTATTACATTTAAATTCGATACAAAATAAAAATCATCAAAATTAAAGAAACCTCTGCACCATCAATAATTTATTCTTACATTAACGAAAACCAACAATTTCTAAATTATATTTCATGGAAATTTTAAATAATCTTTGAGATAAGTGTAAATCTTTCTAGATTATGAAAGGAGTAATTAGAAGACAAGTAGAATCATCATGGTCATCAACTGATACTGATGTGGCTTATAGATGGCGGTGTTGGTGGTTCTATGGTACGCTTTGAGGATGATGCGTCCCTTAACAGCTTTACCAAGAGGCGAAATCTTTAGCTTTGCGCAGTGGCGATATCGTAACCAATGAGGTCTATCCGAGGTGCGATTATTGCTAGTTGAAAACTTTAACCAATACCCCGCCATGTGGACGTGAAAAACCGTCCGCAACGGCAATTTTTGGCAACCCTCACGGGGGTTATAATTTAAATTTAAACAAATATCTTCTTTCTATTTTACACAATTTGAAAGATGTTAACTTCAACGTTTTTTAAAACCTTGATCATCTGAAGAAAACGTGATTTTTCCAAACATTCAACATTTTTTTTAAATGATTAACTAGAAAATTATAAAATTTTTCAGAAGTATATAAGAATTGTTACGTAAAAGATATGTTTAAAAAAAATGCTTTACGTTGTTTTTAAATTAGTCAGTAAAAACGTAAGCTATTCATATCATTAAATTTGCAAATTAAAGATGAATGTGCTTACTGCTTGACTTGTAGTATATACCAGCGTTTCTTAAGCTCTATGAACATGACATACTAGGACAGTAAAGTATTTTTTAGTTAGTTCGTTCCGGTTTATGGTTACGTTCCAAGTATATGTTTATCGTTCCAGATTTCGGTTCCGGTTGAAATTCAAATTAAAAATCGAAAAAAAAAAGCAATTTTTTAAAATTTAAAATCGATTTTTTATTTAATTTTATTTACCAAATTCCCTTACTATTGTTTTTAATTGAAACAATTTAAACAATTGAAAATACAAAAGAAATAAAAATTAATTAGTTCAACACATGCATTTTATAATGTTTCTTCAGTCATGTTTACAGTAATATCATTTTTAATCACTTTAATTTGATTTTGTTCTAAAGTTAGTTGCGCAAGACGTGTGCTTGCCCTTTATTCTTCAAATTTTCTCTTTTTAGTCGGTGGTTGATTGGCGGTGATTGAGAATTTATTTATATAGATGGTTAAGTGTTCTCATGGAATTCGGCCTTGATGGTTTTGCTTAATTGAAAAAAGAATTCGGAGAGATTTCATTGATGTCTTTTATACATTGTTTGTTTATATACTCAATTCACAATAGACCGAACAACACAATGTCGAAATTTTTCGGTTACGGTTCAGTTAAAAATTCCGGTTAATTTCGGTTTACGAATCGAATCTCTGCTTTTAGTACTATTTCTTTTTCACTATTTTGTTTTAACTTTTTCTCTTCTATTTTGTCCTGTCTTGGTGTGTTTATTTTGTCATGGAACAGTGTTAAATTTAGAATATGCTGGGAAATGACAACTGTCATCTTGTATCAAAGCGACAACGTACAAATGAGTAAGTTGGGTTGACAAAAAAAGTTAAGAAACGCTGGTGTACACTATACCAAATTTATATCAGAGTTTTAGTGATTTTACAAACTATCAAAAAAAATCTATTCTAAATAGTTTGTTTCATTTAATTTCAGAATCAATAAATAAGTGAGGACATTGGGAATATGTGAATTCGATGGTTCATAATAATAAATTGTGTGTAATTTCATTTTCATATCATTTTTTAATTCACAACTTTTCTTCTTTAATAATCACAGTTTAAATTATTCTTTTTTTCCTCCATACAACATATCGTAATGTATATAAAAAAAATACTCACAGAAAAAGTAATATAGTAATAATAATGTATGTATGTATGTAAAGGGCGAGCGAACTTAATGATAAATATCTATAAATAAATTTAAATCCTAGACGAGTGAAAACGAAACCGTCGAACATACGAATGTAAATGAATGATAATTAACAGGTCAAGTAATTAATTAATTAGTGGAAATAATTATTAAGAAAAAAAAGGATGAATATTTCGAAAGGTGGAAAACTAATATATATATATAATATGTATATAAATCAAACAAAAAAAAATAATAATAGAAGAAGTAGAGAATGGGGGAGAGAACGTAAACATTAATTGGTGATCACATCGATTCACTATCACTATCGTATGGGCCCACGAAATGCGTGAAGGGTAGATCTGGAATATGACAAGATTAATTGATTGATTAATTTGGTAGATCGTGATCTTACAATAACGACATTGTATTGGATTCTTGTCCATAACCACCTCGTAGTGGTTACTGTAATCCCTGAGACTGAGTTTGGAAGAGCTGGTGTTGATGTCCAAGACCTGTATGCTCTTGCAGTTTAATAGAGGTATGCGCGTTTTGAGAACTGGCGGCGGATGGGCAGTGTTCGTGTGCAGTCTGTTTGTCACGTCGCTCGGTTCCACCAGCTCGAAGCTATCGGTGACGATGTTCCAGACGAACAGGCAATACGTGACGAAGATCTGCGGCTTCAGGTTTGTGGAGACCAGATTGAGGGCGGCGATTTTGATCACAGCCTGGCATATGATGTGGCCATCTAATGGGCATATCTACGTATCGAAAAGTTTAAGATTTCTTATGCACACTTTTTTTGCGATTGTAGCTTACGTGTACTAATTTAATATCGTAGTCCTCGCAGTGAAGGAACTCTAGTTGATGCTCGATGCACAACCTCTGCGCCCTGATTTGAACGAACTGCTCGCAATCGAACGATCGCTGAGTGATTATTAGCTGCGTTTCCGTCACCTGATCGCATTTGAATTCGGACACGACGTCCAAATGCTGCTCAGTCAACGTCTGCACTAATATAGGAATCTCTATTGGAATATTGTAGTCATCTGCAAATTCAGTTAAATCATCGCAGATTTGTGTTACAGTACATTCAATCCTTACACAGTACTTGTCAAGTAATGCGCATTATATATTTGATAAGTCTTAGATCATACTTGTTATTAGCTAATTTTAATACAAGTAACGCTTTAAGTAAAGGTCACGTTCTAATAATGAGACAAAACTTATTACTTAACAATAAACAGTAATTCTACCAAAAGATGTACAACTCAAGTCTCACTCTTATATGTTCATAAAATATATAAATATTTTCGTAAAATACCATGCTTCTTACAGAAAATGGCAAATACCATGAATCTGTTAGTGGGTTATTGGATAGGCCATAGTTTTGTCTTTAATATTCATATTTGATGATCTAATTAGTGTACTTAGTTATCGAGTAATTAGATACAAAGTGAAGACACTTCATTTTTTCTCTCTCGATGTATAATTAATTTGAATGACTTACCTCTGCTCTGTCCGGAAACAAGGGAACTGTTTTCGAAGTCAGCACTGGAATATCTGCGCACGACCTTCTTTATCCATTTGGCGTGGTCATCCTTCTTGGAGTCGACGATAAGCAGTCCGATGGGATGACTCTTCTGGTCATATGAATAGGAGTGCGGAACGTTGTTGATCTGTCGAAGGACGAGTTTGGAATCGTTGTCGGAGCAGTCACTGTCTATGCTGGATGAGTACACGTTGAATTTGCGAGCGGATTCTTTGGGGCTGATCGGAGACCTGGAGGACTGCGGACTCCATCCGGTGAGAGCGCACAGTGTGGACACGTTTATGGAGGTAGGCTGTTGCGTCTGATTGGGATATGCCGAACATGGGCTGAGGAACAGACCGAACTCCGGATTCCTGATGCTCTTCGGCTTGTAAACGCACTTGCTGCGTTCGTGCCTAAGCGAATTGAATGGTACTATATTCTCAGAGTTGTCCTCCGAGAACTCGTACTTCTTATCGGCCAACCTCTTTTTACGGAACGAACTAAGCTTCTCGCATTTCTCGTTCTCTTCGATGAACTCGTACGCCTTCTCCGCCTGCTTCCTATCTAGCTTCGCCTTATCATTGGTCTTTTGGTTGCTTAACGACTGAGGCATCGGAAACAAGATGTCTTTACCTTGAAGCCGCTTAATGTTTTGCACTAAGGTATTGTGATAACTTTTTCCCGTCACATTCAACGGTTCGCAGCTGATGTTCAGCTCGTGGAACGGTTTAGATCCGTCCGCTCCCTCCAAATCGTATTCGCTGAAGTCTTCGATGATGGCGTCTACCACACTGTTCCCGCTGTAGTTCTCCATAGTGTCCATTTCGACGAAGGCGTTCTCTCCGTAGTTCTTGTGTTCTCCTATTAACTGTTCAACGGGGACCGGTACAAGCGGTGGCTGAGGATTCGGTTTGTAAACGGAAGTGTTCAGGATGTGGATGTAGTGGCCGGTGTTTATCACCACGTGGTCAGGATAGGCGAAGGAGATGTTCGGCTCGAACTTGGGCATCGGATTGGATAGTGTGAACATATAGTGCAGCATGAAACCGTGGTTTAAGCACCAACCTCGATACAACTTATCTAAAACCAAAACGAATCTTTACGTTCATTTCTTTACAACTTTCTTGTTCCATAAATACCATCATTTGGCTGCAAACTTCCTTTGCAATTGCGACAATGTTTCTCTTGCACTGGCAGTGTCAATATAGTTAAGTATGCAATTCCTGGATTTGTTGCCCTTCAAACAAATACACAAATTAACTTATTAAACATTCAAGTAAAAAATATATACAAAAAAAAACTGAAAATTTACAAATCAGTAAATCATTTACATGTTAATGAAACTTTGTAACTCTAATAATAGCTGTAGTCATCAACAATACATAATTAACAACTAATGAACAGGTATGACTCATTTCCATAATTAGGTGAATTCTAAATATATACTTTTTCAATTTGGTAAATAAATAGTTAGAAAACTAGTTACTAAAACTTGGTAATATTTCATATCAAAAATATTGTAAATTATTTGATATAAAACCTGGTGTTAATTAAGCATAAATTCAATTTTCAATTCATTTTGCTATGATTTAAGTAAAACTTTATAAACTATCTAATAATTAAGTTACTAAGTTACATTAAGTCTTATTAATTAAATTAAATTATTTGTCTCATTAATTTAGAATACATGTACAATTACGTTCATATTTCGTTTTACAACTGAATTACTTCTAAAATGAAACGCTTGTGCCGTTATCAAACATAATCTGCAAAATGTATCAATAAATTGGATTGCTTAAATACTTACGCAGTACTTGTCAAGTACTGCGCAGAATACATGATACACGTTTTGTTTAGATCATACTTGTTATTAGTTACTTTATAAACTATCTTATAGTTAAGTTACATTAAGTCATATTATTTAAGTTAGGTCATGTTGTGTTAAGCTAAGAAAAGTCATATTAGTTTAGTGTACAAATTCAATGATTTGTCTCATTAATTTAGAATACATGTAAAATTATGTATAGATTTCGTTTTACTACTGAATTACTTCTAAAATGAAACACTTGTCCTGTTATCAATCATAATCTGCATAATGCATCAATAAATTGGATTGCTTAAATACTCACGCAGTACTTGTCAAGTACTGAGCAGAAACATGATACACGTTTTGTTTAGATCATACTTGTTATTTGTTACTTTATAAACTATCTTATAGTTAAGTCATATTATTTAAGTTAGGTCATTTTGTGTTAAGCTAAGAAAAGTCATATTAGTTTAGGTAAGGTTACAAATTAAATTATTTGTCTCATTAATTTTGAACACATGTACAATAATCTATAGATTTCGTTTTACTACTGAATTTCTTCTAAAATGAAACACTTGTCCTGTTATCAATCATAATCTGCATAATGCATCAATAAATTGGATTTCAGTATTACTTAAATATGAAAGAATCGCAATCATCAATTATTGATAATACAATGCATGAAGTACATTATCTATATAACCAGAAACCAAAAAAACTCAAACATTTCATAATTACTACAATATTTTTATTAATTGTCACAATTTAATTATATCGTTCATTTGATTACTAATTATTTAGGTAGTATTTACGTAGCTTATCACAAAATATTGATAACAGAATGAGATTGGAAATGAACAACATTTCCCATTTGATTATACTTTCATTAGCTCAATACAATATGAAAGTGGACAAAAATAATTGTTTCACACTTTCTGTAAATTTGATTTTAGTTTTGTTTTAATTAATGCAATAAACGATATTATAATAAAAATATTGAAACTTTAAAAATGTAGGTTTAATATTCTAAGAAAATGTATGAGATTTATATTTCAGTATTACAAATATGTAGATTGATTTGTATAGAAATGTTTAATGCTGTAATATTGAGTCACTGTTGGAATCTAATTGACTGTGTATTTTTATTAAATTTGTATTTCAATCAATAACTGCTTGTCAGTTACATGTGGAAAGACACCTGGATTTTCCACCAAGTATAATCAATTTGTGCATGCAGACATTTATAAATAGATTGATAATTTGAATGTATAAATAAAAAAAAAGAAGGAGATATCTTACCTTAAGCCATAACAAAACATTTTGTAGGGATCAGTGGGTGACTGTATGAACATAATCTTATCCAATTCCACATCCCTCATCAGCCTAAATATCCTATGCTTCGATATGAACTGCAATTTATCACCTTGCATGAACTTCCAAATGTACAGGATGTACTCTATGCAAGGAAAGAGAGTCACAACATCCACCATAATCTCCTTATAACTAATGAAATATTGGCCACAAATTGTGAAGCCCATGTAAAAGTGTGAACTGAAACACATAATTGATGATTAACTAAAGGAAATTGTATAAGTTTCAGTTTGTTTACCATGATCTCTTATTGAACACTATATCTCCGAATGGTATCTTGCAATTGCGATGTACATCTTTGAACATTGGTTCAGTCTTACTTTTCCAAGTCTTGGCTACCCTGCCATACATCTGCACATGCGAGGAAAGAAAAAAAACAAAGAAAAATAATTTAATGAGATGTGAGAGAAAGCATAACATCAAGGTGGTCCTGAATTGATCTCAAGTTGAATGTCAAAAGCAATTACTTATTTTTATTGATTTTATAGTCCCTCTCCCCCCTGGGGTATTAAGGATGATCGCGTTGAGACGGGGAGACGCGAGGAGGGAATACGTTTCATCATCGAAGCTATTGTTATTAATTTTTTTTTGTGTGGAGGCGGCGTAGGTGAAAGTTCGTTTGTTTTTGGTTTTCCGGGGGTCTTTAAATTTTTTGTTGTTATGACTTTTGGAGGTTAGACTTACTTGTCTGTTTGCCAGTTTGACGACGAGGTTCATTTCGGTTTCATTTTCGTTCGTCGGTGTAGCGCTCTCCGTTGCCGCCGCCTGCGTGTATATCATTAGGTCATCGGAATCATCCGAATCCGTTGATATTGAACTGTGATTGCTATCATCGTCGTACACGCTCGACGCCATATTCTAATGTTTACTGTTTATAATTCCAAAGCTCAACGCTCGGTCCCCGTTTGACAGTAGTTCAAATGCCCCGAACCAAACGAACTACCATCGAAAAAGCTCACAATAATACTAGCAAAAGCACCGAGAACACAACAAATCTTCTTTAAACACTTCACCTCATCATAAAACATAAAATTATAATAATAATCAGTATTAAAATAAGTGTATAAACTAAGGAAACAATTTGACTTCTTAAACAGTACATCTATCGGCGCAATTCAGAACTAATTTAGGGGTGCCTTTTACACAATCAATTACTTCCCCATCCTATTAATATTCATCGATTGCTTTGTTTCTCACATTAATAAAAACGTGAAACAAGATTTCAGCAAAAAATTAAATAATTAAAATTTACTCCCTCTGTTTGAAAATAAGACTCAAATTTCACATAAAATATTTGTCCAAAAATCAAGAGTCCCATTTTAATTTTACTGTTTCTTATTCGAGGCTAAGGATCAATGCTAGGGTTTGAAGGACATTAAAAATAAACAAAATAAAAGTTTTGTACGTAATTTTGACGAAATATTGTCATTGTTTCTTGTGAACATTTTAAAGATATTGACAAGTTGGATTCTCTTCTTAGTTCTATATTTTTATCAAAGCAGACTTGATCCTTTTTTTTATATTTTTATACTCGTAATAAATAAAATAAAGATAGTTATTCAAATGAGGGAGTATTTATTTTTATACATATATTTACATAGTTACATAATAATAATGTTTAAATTCAATGACAGAGTAAAGTAGATTTAGTCTTTTCAAATAAAACATTTATGTTACATTCAGGTCTTTATTCGTATATCTCTTTGTTACTTTACTTCTTTAACTGTTTTCCTTTGTATATATTCTAAGATCTTTCCTTTGTGACACTAATGTCTTTTATAAATCAGTTGAAATATCTTAATTTTTTAAATATATTAAAAAGAAATTAGTAGTTATTTTTTTTAACATTAACTTTATTAAATTAAATTGTTATTTATTTTACACTAATTTTTATAGTAGATAAATAAGTTAATTAAAATGTTTCTATATCAAATACATTTCCATAGTTACATAACAACTGTTTCCTTGCAATTCTTAATTCTTTTATATATGTAAAGTTTTCAGAAAAAAATTCTATTATTTTTTTTTATTATAACAAATAAATTTTCAAATAAAAAATGAATGAATGAGAATGATGAAATTTCTAAAAATTATAGGATAATTAAAATAAAAATTGATTTGAAACTGGTATATTTTGATTGTTTTAATTAATTTAATTCTAATTTGTTTTTCATTATTACTAAAAAATAGTTAAAATGTTATAAAATATGAAATATTTGTGAGCAATAATAAATGTGAGAAATAAAATTGTAACATTTTTGTTGCAATTTAAATAAATAACATTGATTGTCGTGAATCTATAAATAACTGAAATTGTATCTATTAAACTTGTTTTTTTACTTAGCAATTAAAATAATTATTGTGCAATTACAAAAAATGATTACATTTGATTGGTGTGAATTTATTTATAAACAAATTTATACAAATTATCTTTACCAAACAAATAAAAAAAACTATAAAATAAGACATTTGCCTTCATTAATATTAAAGATTGATATGAATCAGTAAAAAAAAATAATTACACAATAAAACAAATGTATGTGTCTTAATTAATAATACTGATTAATGTGAATCTGTTAAATATTTAAAATGAAGTAGATTTTTCAGAGATGTATCATTTCAATCAACAATCAAATCTTTAATTATACTATAAAACAACGGTATTTGTGTTTTGATGAATGAATATTGATTGATGAAATTTTGTAAATTAAGTACATTTTTCAATTAAATTTGTCTTTTCTTTTGCTTAACAATCAAATCTTAAATTATACAATAAAACAACAATATTTCTGTTTTAATGAATGAATATTGATTGATAAAATTTTGTAAATTAAGTACATTTTTTTAATGAAATATGTTTTTTGTTTTGATCAACAATCAAATCTTTAATTATACAATGAAACAACAATATTTATGTTTTAATGAATGAATATTGATTGATGAAATTTTGTAAATTAAGTACATTTTTCCATGAAATTTGTCTTTTCTTTTGCTTAACAATCAAATCTATAATTATACAATAAAACAACGATATTTGTGTTTCAATGAACAATATTGATTGATGTACATTTAGTAAATTAAGTATATTTTTCAATGAAATTTATCCTTTCTTTTGCGTAACAATCAAATCTTTAATTATACAATAAAATAACGATATGTGTGTTTTAATGGATGAATATTGATTGATGAAATTTTGTAAATTAAGTACATTTTTCAATTAAATTTGTGTTTTCTTTTGCTTAATAACGTAATCTATAATTTAACAATAAAACAATGATAGTTATGTTTTAATGTATAATATTAATTGATGTAAATTTGTAATTAAAGATTTTTTTTTCAAACAAATGTTTTTTTTTCTTAATTTATAACTTTAACAATAAATCAAAGATTTTTGTCTTAATTAATTAATGAATGAATGAATAATATTGTATCTATAATAAACAAACGTTGGAAATCATATTTGTAAAATGTACTGAATTATGCAAGTTAAAACTCTAATTAATTAACAATGAATCTAAATCTGTAATTAATTTACAAAGAATATAAAGTGTGCGTTTAAATAAAAGAGGATGTGTGTGACTGGGATCCGATTACGTTCACTTTCGGTGCAACTTCGGAGAGACTCCAAAAAGGATCTGCGGTGAAAACAGGTAGAAAAGTCTCGAGCATTAGGTCACTTCTGGTTGTTCTCGTTCTTCCTCCGCTTCATTCCATCCCAGGTACAGTTAACAAAAAAAATATTTAAATGACAAAAGGGACTCAACTACAAGAAATATATTACCTGCATTGTCTAGTCTTTACACAAATATAACGTCGTTTTGCCATTTACATTTGAATTATATCAATGATGAATTTTAGAATTTCTCAAAATTCTTTAAATTAATTTAAACGTTTTTAACGTTTCATAACAAAAAATAGATTAAGAAATTTTAATGGTTTATTACAAACATTTATTAAAATATTAGAACTTTGACAGCTTACAAAAGTTAAACAACACCTGTACTTGAAAAGGTGACTATAACAACTTAAAACTATAAATAAAAATAAAAATTCAAAGCCTTCTTGTTTGATGATCAGATAATGAGGTGAAACCTGCTAAAGGACAACTTTATAATCCTAAACAAAGAGGACGCCACTTTATGGACGTGTAAACAGCTTCCGTTAACTGAAATTGATGCATAATTCGAACCTGAAGTTCTGTTCTTCGAAGGATTACCTCCATAGTTAAGCAAGGTCAATAGATACGTTATTCATGATTCCTATTCAGGAGAACGGTTGTCCTTCAATCTTTTTGGTCTTTATTTTTAAAGCTCTAGTCATCATATTTTATTCTGAAGCCATCCCCTTGTTATATTATATATATATAAAGCGAATATCGATCGTTTGACACGGGTTCGTGCTGTAAACATATTTTCGGCAATCCTCATTACGATCGTTTCAAAGGATTCTTCTTTCGCTTCGTGATTTGATTTTTAAACGAAATCCTAAAAATACATTTATATTTTTTATAAAAATAAAATTTTACAATACATTGCTTATTTAATTTTTATAGATAAGAAATTAACGTTAAAATCATTTTTTAACTATAATATTGAAGACGTTTATTTAGAAAGTGACTTAAGTCCATTTTTCATTTCTTTTTTATTGTTGACTATAGTAACATTTATAATTTGGTGTTAGCTGTCATAAACAATAATTTGACGTTAAGTATATGATAACTTTGAACACATACATTTTCACCAATTGTTCAATTTTTAAAAACTTTGATTATGTCCGAAAGTGCGGATCTTCAAATTTCTAAAGGTATTGATGAAGCTAATTTTAATGATTTAATAGGTGATTTTTAGG